GTGAAATTGATTCAAAGTTTTCAATCTAAGGAAAACCAGTTGATTGCATCGACTCATTGAATTGAAGGCGATCCCTCACACTAAGCATGCTTGAAGCGACAGTGGAGAGGAAAACTCCAGCAGAACTAGGCTTAGTGTGAGTGGCCATCTGGTGAGGCAGAAGGAAAGTTCACTACTAATGAATTAACTAATGCAAAGTAAAAACGCAAATATAACACAATTTCATTATATTTGAAAGAATTCTGATTATGTTAATGTGAAAATAATCCAGAAAGCTAAAATTAAAACTAGTAAAAATATTCCAACAACACTCTTTAACATCGATGATGCCAAGATAGTACTTTATCCTGATATTGACACTTTTCTGAATATCAGAATTACTGATATGACTGTTTGCTGCTGCTCAGATCATCATTTCTGCAGCACACTTTAAGCAGCTATATTGTTAATTTTGCATCATCTCGGTTACCCTGCAGAAAATAAAGATATTGATCATTTAGAGCCACTGGAAGAGAATATGAACATTACTGTACCAGAGGCTCACTTATTTCATTTGGTTAAAAGCTTTAACTTCTATAAATCTTAATTAATCTAACTCAGAGGTCATTGTTTGGTCAGAGTCCTGCTGCTTTTAGATGCATCTCTAGTCAAGAGACCTGAATAAAATAAACTTGTCATTATTTGGACTTTGTAGAGCTTGATAACATTCGGAGAAGTCAGCCCAGCCATTAAATCAAATGTGCAGCAGGAGGGAAACAGTTTAAAGTAGCAAGACTTTCACCCTCAGGTCAAAGTTTTTAAAACCATTATTCAATTTAGATCCGGAGGGATTTTGGTTAAGAGAAATCAGTCAAAGTTGTTGACAAATTTTCCAACATATGGGGTTTCTCAAATGCTTAGACACATACGGACACATGAAATGTTGGAAAGTGCATCAAAAGAGCCAGAGGACTTAATAAAGTCACTAAGGTGACATCATCTGCTTTGAATTGCTCTCCTCGTGTTTTGACTCCAAACAAGACGTGTGGGAATGTTGTTTTTACCGCACAAATTTCTCAGTTCTTCTGTTTTCCCACCTCGGTGACGCAGTGGATCCTTAATAATCCCGCATCAAAACCACTTCAAATTAAAAGGAAACAAAACACAAGTCAACTAAACCGGCGTCGGCGGCACAAGTGGATTTAGGAGGTAATCGTGTTTACGCACACAGAAACACAAACACTGGCGTGGATTACAGAGAAGATGAAGTATGTCGGAGAACAGCGGGAGTTTTCTTTCTCTCCGTTTGTGTGTGTTATTATTTAATTTTTCCCTTTCTTTTCCCAGAGCATTAAAGAGGGCGAGACGGAGGAGGGGGGAGAGGCATTAGAAGAATGTCAATATGATTGGAGGGAGAGGAGTGTGTGTTCGCTGCGCGTTCAGCAACAATGGCGCTCCAGCCGTGTTATTCCATGTGCATTCACATGATCTGTTATTACCTCTGACATGTACCGCTGAGAGAGAGTGTGTGAGTGAAGGACAGGGGAAAATGACTTGAGAGGAAGACGGGAATAAAGGCAGAGATGCACCTGGGATTCTGTAAGTCATAAGTCAAAGAATAAGAACATTCAGCCTTTATAAGGTGTGGGACAGTGTGTGTGTTTGTCTGCTAGAAGCTCAGGGCACACCGAGGATCCAGCAGCTCCACAGCAACATAACTCTGTTAATTATTATCCGATCCTGAACGGCTGCCAGTGCAGGCCGTCCATCCATCATCCACAGCAAAAATAACTCATCTGGGACTGAAAGCTGCGACTAAAACAAGGGGCCAGAGGAGAGATTCCAGGAGGTTTCAAGGAGTTACCGGGAATACAATAATGTGTGAGTGTTTTACAGGTGAGGGGTTCAATTATGATCAGGGAGGAGGCCAAAGTGTCTTCAGTTCACTCTGCAGCGGGACGATGATCCACGGACATCCTCTGCTGCAGGAAAAACAGGAAGGCTCCAGGAAGTGGCTTTAAAATGTACGACATCTCCAGATTTGCACTAATTAGAACAGGTTTCCAAAACAGCTTTTAGGTTGAAAAAAAAAGAAATAGAAATATCAAAATTGTTCAATTTTCTAGACTCAAATTAGCAGATTTTCTGAATTTCTGTCAGATTTTTTTTTTTTACAAAAATGTAATGACGGAAGGAAGGAAGGAAGGAAACAATAAAGGATGAAGGAAAGAAGGAAAGAAACAACGAAGGATGAAGGAAGAAACAACGAAGTATGAAGGGAAGAAGGAAGGCAACAATGAAGGATGAAGGGAAGAAGGAAGGAAACAACAAAGGATCAAGGGAAGAAGGAAGGAAACAACGAAGTATAAAGGGAAGAAGGAAGGAAACAATGAAGGATGAAGGGAAGAAGGAAGGAAACAACAAAGTATAAAGGGAAGAAGGAAGGAAACAACGAAGGATGAAGGGAAGAAGGAAGGAAACAACGAAGTATAAAGGGAAGAAGAAGGAAACAACGAAGGATGAAGGGAAGAAGGAAGGAAACAATGAAGTATAAAGGGAAGAAGGAAGGAAACAACGAAGGATGAAGGGAAGAAGGAAGGAAACAATGAAGTATAAAGGGAAGAAGGAAGGAAACAATATAAAATATAAAGTCTGTTAGTTTTTTCTTTACTTAAATGTAATTGCTTACTCCTCTATTCCCTATCAAAATCTATTGAAAGCCAGAAGTATGTCCACCAATCTGGATCACAATGACGTTTCCTGCAAGTTTCCTTCCTGCAACACACCTGATCCGAGTGGTCAAAGTAGCTCCTCACCATGTCACCAAGGAGCACCACGAGGCTGCTGATGACCCGTTTATTTAAATCATGTGCATTCAAGCAGAGAAACATCTAAAACTTGCAGAAATCTGCCCCTCAGGGAGCAGGACTAACCACCCACTCCTTGTTCAGACTGCTTAGAGAAGAAATGCTGACCTGCAGCAATTCATGAGCTGCACATCAACTACTCTGATCTGACATTTAATATCATTTGCTTTGAAAACTTGATTCCAACTTATGTCAAATTTAAGCCAATATCTATTAACATAAATATGCATGAAAAAAAAAAGAAAATAACACCAATTACATTAAAAATCAGAAGAGAGAGCCAAAATATTCCTCTCAGAACTCCACCCGCACAATGCTTTAAATGTTTCCTTTGCAAAGCAGACCGACTGACCAAAATATCCCGTACCCATGTAAAAATAACGCCTGTTATCAGCTCTGCTAACACAAGCACACAAACAGTCCTCTGCACACTCCAAAAGCCAGTCCTGTGCATCCTGCTGCCAGAAACACAGTTCACTAATTAGTTCTGGTTTTCACAGCCGACACATAAAACATCTAAATGAGGAAAATGTAACAAATTAAACACTTTAAGGAGTTATTACAGTAAACATGTTCTTCTTTCCTCTGATATAATCGACTAATTAAATGCATATTAAGGAGCTGGAAGAAGATCTTGGTCTAAAGTTGCTGTTTTTCAGACACTTGGAATTGAACAAAGTTTAGCAAATTAACACAAAATATGAGAAATTTGATAAAAAGTAGTGAAAACAAGCAGGTCAGGAGACAAGTCGGCAAAAACACAGTGATTATCCACAGAGGCTGTAATGTGTGTTTACACGCCGTCCGACACACACTATAATGCTGCACTTCTAGGAAAACAACAAGCATTTATTCATGTTTAAACATGCAAACTGTTTCTGACACGTTATGTTACACAAACACACTCAGGCAGTGAGAGATAAAGTAATAGATTGTGTTTAAAGCGCAGTTTGTTTGGGTTTTGAGTTGTTTTTTTTTAGCATGATCTTAATTGTACTAAAAGAAACCAACTGGATGCTGGTGATGTGTTCTTTTCACATCACACACAACAGTCTGCAAAATGAAAACAGACAATTAACGAGGTACACATCAGTTTTTTTCTTTTTCAAAACCAAAACTCCTGTCATCTAAATAATAAATAAAACCAGAATCCTTTTAATCTGAGGAGGTGCACCTCCTCAGATTAAAACAATTCTGTTTTTATTTAATCTAAGGTCCTTAATAAAGGTTGAAGATTTTAATCCAACAGATAAAATTATTGATTTCAAGGCAACCTCTGTTTATGCATCAAAAAAAACATCCAGAACCTTGATCTGATCTCAGAAAACATGTTTATAAAGAGGTTAATATGTTTAAAGATAAGGAAAAAAAAGTTAGATTTCTCTGGACTTGATGACAGATACCTGAAGGACTATAATGAATATTAAGAAGTTCTGAATACCACATTAAATGTTTAATCAGGGCTCCTAGTTCCAGAGTTTACATTTTTATTATTATAGTCAAATTAACAGCTTGGCTTCCAATTAGGTCTTATTTCACAGCTTCATTTCAAAGTAAACAACAGCCCAAATTACTGTTTGTTTTATTGCTTTTAAAAGCATAAATAAAGAAATGAAGCAAAAAAGGGAGGGATCATGCGCCCTAAAGGTTCTGCTTTTCTATTGTTTATTTCTCTATTTGCAAAGTTAAACCTAAAGGAAATCCCCTGAATTTGATTTCCATAAATAATAATAATAAGTAGGCTGATGTAAAAAAAAAATTAATCTTTGAGATATTGGAGAAAAACTGAGAAAGCCAAACTTTTCCACACTCAGTCGGTTGGAAAGTGATCCCATCCGATTGCATACTTATCCAGGCGCAGTAGGAACCCTGTGTGCTTGAAGGCAGATCTGATCGCTGTGGATAAACATGTGCGGAGCGACTGTCATTGCAAAAAAAAAAAAAAAAAAAAAGAGGCATAAATGTTAAACTTAATTTCTAAGTTGAGTTTATTAGAAGCATAACTGCTTTATTCCGTCCTGGAACTGAAGCTGCGTCCCTAAAAGTTGGACTTTTCTAAAACACGCGGCTGAAAGTGTCCTGAAACCTGAAGGAAAGAGGCTTGGATCTTTGAAACTGTTTGGAAATAACTCAGAGGAGGTTCTGCAGACTGACCTGGCGCTGGTGCAGTCCTGGTACAGCGTCTCGAAGTCCTTTCTAGAGATGAGCTTACAGCGGTTCACCCCGGGCTGGATGGCGCCGAGCCCCCGCAGGACGCGCACCTGCTCCACGGTGCAGACCACCGGCGTGATGTCCAGCCTCTTCAGCTTGGTGTAGACCGTATGCAGCCCGCCCACCAGGTGCTTCAGGAAGAGGTCGAACACCTGCGGCAGGCAGATCAGCTCCTGGCCGTCCACGTTGAAGCTGGCCACCTTCACGCCGTGCACCTCCACCAGTTTGCACTCGCTGCACAGAGCCGGTCCGGAGGAGGTCTGCACCAAACTCGGGGAGCCGGGGGTCAGACCGGCTGCGCTCAGCGAACCGAGCCCGCTGAGGGAGCCCAGGGCGCCGCCTGGTCCGGGCAGGAAGGCGCTGAGCATGCTGCTGGTGAGCCGCGGGGACGGGGACAGAGAGTGGGAGTGGGAGTTGATGTGCGCCGGGCTGGAGGTGCTGGTGGAGACGGCCGAGGAGGTGTGCAGACCCTCTGGGGCTGAGCGGTAGAGCCCGACGGGAGTTTGTGCTCCCGAACCCGGAGAGAGGAGCGGAGGAGAACCGGGGAGCGACATGGAGGAGGTGGGAGTGGGTTTAGTGGATAATTTCCAGTTGGAAACCACTTGTTCCTCTTCCTTTTCTTTTTTTAGTTTTCCTGTCACTTTTCCTTCTTCTTTTATGCTTTTTTTTTCTAATTTTCCTCTTCTTCTGCTAAACTCTCCCCTCTTCCCATCCGGTGTAAAGTCTCACTGTGGAAATCCGTGCGTGGACTGTCCGGTCTGTGCGTAAAGCAGCCTGGATCAGACTCCAGGTCAGCCTCAGCCTAGCCCTGCCTTCTCTTTAATTGACGGACAGGTGCATGGACCAATCAGGGCAGAGCTGAGGAGGAGCGACCGAGGAGCGCATCTCGCCGGTGTGTGTGTGTGCGCTTTTTTTCTCTTTTTTTATCGCTCTCATCTCTCTCTTTCATAAACTTTCTCACGGGCCGATCCACTCTCTCCAAAAAGGGAAGTTTGTGTTTTTCTTCCGCATCATTTTGGTCCCAAATCTCAAACAGCACGTGTTTGTGAGCGCGCGCATGGAAGCTTGTGTCTTGGGTCAATTGCTGCTCGCGTGCGAGCTCTGGTGGCGGGATGGACACACCTTTAAATAACAGTAATGACCCCTTAAAGAAAATAAAAACAGGGGAAGGAGTCTCAAAATGAGGAGAAAGTGAGGAAAAGAAACATGAATAAAGAGAAAAGAGACAGACAGACTAAACGACACCCTAAATTACTCAATTTAGGACTATTTAGGAACATTTCAGATTACATATTTCATTAACAAAAACTTTCTGTGCATTTCAGGAATTCAGATCAACCTCTATTAGATTTCTGGAGCAAAAAAGAAAAAAAAAAGGGAATTAATACAGGGAGAACTGAAGGTTTTTAAAATGTAAGAAGAAAGTGAAGAATAAGAAGTATTAGAAATGAGTGAAAAGGAAGTGATCACAGGATGGATAGAAGGAAGAACTCAAAGACCAAATTAAAAAAGGTAAGAAATTAATAGAATGAAGAAAAATGGGATAAAGGGTGTTATGAAAGAGGATGGCTGGATGGGCAAAGTGAAAGCAAAAGAGGGACAAAAAAAATGTGCTGGAAAACAATAAAACTGGAGAAATTCCTGAATTTGATATTTTTGTAAATAAAATCCTTAAACTACTTTCTAGCAACTATGTCGGATGTGATCTATCATTTTCTTAACACTAATTAAAATGCATATATTAAGTTCAGAATATTACATCAGACTAATAAAAAAAAAAGGAAAAAATAAAGGTTGGTCATTCCTCTGGCCAATCAAACGCTGTGATGTATTGATCATTAAAGCAGCGACTGTTAGCTTTAGCAGTGTGGAAAGATGCAGGTCCTGCAGAGAGAATTCATTCAAGTTCCTTTTAAAATTCTAGAATATAACAGTTTATCAGCAGGCATCTTCGTTAGCAGTTATTTATTTTGAGTCACCCTTACTGTGGAGCAAATTTATTGCTATCTGTTTCAAGTAGAGGTGTGGAATAAATGTGGATTTTAAAGATTAGATTTTTTTTTAATCAGGTTTTCTTGTTCATAAATGCAGTATTTGGGCTTCCATGTTTCTGGATGATGTCAACTCATCACTTTTGGCTCTTAGATGTAAACTTAAAACATATAAACCAGCTCAGTCAGTATAGCTGCAAACATTCAATGTCGTATATTTTTGTTGTTTACATTGAAAGGTTCTTCCAACCAGTTTTAAGCATGTTTCATCATATGTTTTTAGTTGCTTTCTGAATTCAGGTCAAACTCTAAAAGAGATGACTGAAACAAAAGCAAGCTTTTGAAAATAATTTCTACTATACGTAAATTGTTTTTTATGAATATTATGGAGGGAAAATTTATTTAAACAGATTTAGTGTGAAAAAAATCAGGGATTACATTTTTTAGATAGTTGTCGTTCCATAATTGTGTTAAGATTCACCCTGGCATGTAAGGCAGGGCTCCTCTCTGACTGTATTTGTTAAAAAATGGTTTTACTGATGTAAGTTAAAATAAAGGATAAAAAGAAAAGTTTGAGTTTATAACCAGAGAGAATAAAGTTGAACAGGGCAGAGAATTTTGGATAAAAACGAGGAAACCTTAAACAGCCTGAGATGGTTATAGCATAGAAGATAAAGAGGAAGATGAGGATTAGCAGAGAGAAGTCTACAGAATAATAAAACCAGAGATTGGGACATCAAAGGGAATTAGTGGTGTGTGTTTAAACAGGGAAATGGAATTGAGGGGTGTGGATTACAGGCAGACTGGGTTTAATAATCCCATGTAATCTCATTACTCTGAGAAACCCTGACCGAGTAGAGAAAAAGAAACACAGACGGACAGATTATGAGACTAAAAGGAAAAGTTAAAAAGAGTTAAACAGGAAGTTGTCTAAAATGAAAACACCAAAACAATAATTATTTTCATTAAGTCTATAAAAATATCTAATCTCAGATAAGATTACTTTTCCATTTGTTGATTTTTAGGATTTCTAGCCAAACAGATTATATAATGTTAACAATAACTATAACATCTCGTTTGAGTATTTTCACTCAGTAGAGATGGTGAACTGTGGGAAATATGTAAATATGTCCTCACTCAGATTTCAGGGAAGCTGGATGTGAATTTAATCTTGTGCCTGACTGGGGAAGAGGAAATTAACAGTAAAATCCAACTTGAGGATTTATGTAAAAAAAAAAAACAAACACTGCAACTTGAAAACATGACATTTCTAATAAGCTAGATTTAAAAAAAAATGCAGACAGTGTTGTCCATAAAGAGAGAAATTACCTGCTCACTGGATCTGCAAGGAAAAAGGAAAACAGGTGAAGAGCAGCTCTCCGCTCAGAGAGAGAAAGAGTAAAACAAAAAAATGAAACGGGGGAAAAGGAGAGTCAGAGGGTAATCATTCGTCTCTCAGGACTAATAATGATCAAACTGAAGCTGGACTCAGAGAAAGACAGAGAGAGATGAGCTCTTAGTGGAGGTGAATATCTCTCAGTGGGGATATAATGACCAGTATGAACTTGAAGTTGGACTTCTCGGCGTGGAATAAGAAACAGAAGAAGAAGAGCAGATTTTGTCAGAGAGGAAGAGGAGGCTGGATGAGGAACAGGAAGGCGGATCAAGAACATCTGTAGGACAGAAGGAAGATGCTTTTAAATCAAGTAAGTTGGAATCTTAGAGGAAGACAAGTTGAGGAATTATACATTTCCTCGTTTTAAAGCATTCCATCCTGGAAAGACAAGGAGAAAGGAAACAATTAGAAAGATTTTATTGACTGATTTCATGGGATTATCAAGTGTTAAACTATCAGGGAGCTAGCAGCAGAGCATTTGGACCTTAGTGGGAGTAATCTGAAAGATGTATTTTATTTTAAGTTCTGATATTTTTTCTTATATTATTTTTTTTTAAATAGATAACTTTTAGATATTAATAATTTGTTGCATGTAGTTTTCTATGCCTATTTTTTTTCCTTTGGTTTCTCTAAGCTTGAAAAAGCAGCCAGATGACACAGATGTGTGTTAAAGATACCTGCTTTGATCATTGCAAAGATCAACGATGACAACCAACATGAATAGATCCACACAGCATATCACAGGACAGCTACCTAGAAGGAGACGACAATGTGCTGCTCTTCTGCCTCCATCCGTTACCATGACAGCTTTTGCGCAACATGCTACCTTTATTCTTATGGATTTTACCCTAAAGCTTCCAGACTGTGAAATAATGAAGCACAGTTGTGCTTGAAAGTTTACATAGCCTCCCAGTAAAGGAAATGACTGAAGTGAAATGAATTCATACTAGTAATTCAAATAACACTAAACTGATTAAACTGTTGTTCAAAAAAAATAATTCTAAAACACAAGAAATCCCTGACAAATGAAAGTACGTTGAACTAACATATCAGTCAACAGGTGCAAACGTCTGATTGAACATTTTCTGAACTATACTGAAAACAACATTTCAGGAGCTCCATCAGGCTTGTTTACTATTATTATTTTTGTCGTTTTCAATTTATTTTACTGTAATTTACTCTTTTACTCTTCTTTTAGTCTTTAAAGGAGGGGTACATAAACTTTCAAGCATATCCTGACCTGGTTAACGTATCATAAGGTGCTGATCAAACATAAACAAAAAATGCTAATGCAAAATGCAAAAAATTGAAATCTAATTAAGTAATTTTTGCTTAAAATAAGGGATTTTTTTTTCTTGAATTGAGCAGGTAAGTGAGACACTTTGCCAATAAAACAAGACAATTTATATTTAAAATAAGAAAAAAACTATTTAATTTTCTTATTTTAAGTGCATAATATCTAATTATCTTACTTTAGGAGTAAATATACTCATTCCATTGGCAAATCATCTTATTTACCTACTGAAATTAACGTTAAATACACTCAATTTGAGAAATATTTACTAATTTCTTGATTGTATTTGTAGTGCAGACTTTGCTGTCCATTCATAAATCACTGCATTTTCTACCGTAGCATGCAAAATGAATAAACTAATGTCAGAGCAAAGCCCTCGACTTTAGCCTGAAGTTAACATGACCTTTCTTTTGCATGAATAGCGCAGAGAGCCTCAATGTGCTGCTGTTGCAGTTTCCCTCCTGGTTTATACCTCCATTAACCACAACCTATCTCTAAAATACACTTGGTTTTGTTTTGGAGGGATCATTTTTAAAATAAATTCCCAGAACCCTCTGTTGGGTCCGACCACCAAGCCTGTCTTTAACATGTAGCAGCTGCTCTCAGGTGGTGGGGGTCAGGGTAAATAAGAAGGATGGGGTGCAGCATTGTTGATCCTTCATTATTTAACTCACAGATTAACAGTATAATGGGCAGGAATATCATTGATTTAGAAAGAGATTTTGTTAGTCTGACGAATCATCCTCAACATTTTCGTCTTGTCTTTGTCTACAAAATGAAAACTTACACGTCTTTTCATTTTTTTTGTCATCTAATAGCAATTTTTATTTTTCAGCATCGATTAAATATTTTCGGCCTTGTCATCGCTGCCCTGATGTGAACCAGGGTTCACAAAATGCTTTGAAGAATGGTTTCCAGCCGAGCCCGAGATGCCTTCATGCTGTCTAGGTATGAGTTCTGTAAGGGTGAAGATGGTGAAGGTTGGGGAATAGAAGCCAACCTGACACAGGCACAGTACTGCTTGGAAAGCATGACTGAATTGTTTCTCT